CACATTTGGAGGGAAAAAATGGACTTATTAGTGATAGGCAGCATGGCTTGGGATGGGGAAGGTCGTGTGTATCAAATTTGATAGAATTTTTTGAGGAAGTGACAGATGATTTATGAGGACACGGTGATAGATATTGTCTACATGGACTTTAGCAAGGCCTTTGTCAAGGTCTATCATGGCAGTCTGATAAGAAGGTGCATTCACATGGGATCTGTGGTGAGCTGGCAAGATGGAATCAGAACTTGCTTAGTCATAGACGACAGAGTAGTGGTGAAACGGTGTTTTTCTGACTGGAGATCTATGACCAGTGGTGTTTCACAGGGATCGGTGCTGGGACCCCTATTGTTTGTAATATCTATAAATGATTTCGAGGAGAATGTAGATGGTGGATGACCCAAATATTGGGGGAGCTGCAGTTAGTGAGGAAGATTGCCAGAGGAAACAGCAGGATATAGATGGGCTGGAGACTTGGGCAGAGAAATGGCAGTTGGCGTTTAATCCAGACAGTTGCAAGGTGATGAATTTTGGAAGATCTACGCAGGAGGGCAGTATACAGTAAATGGTAAAATCCTGAGTAGCATTAACATACAGAGGGGTCCAGGCATACAGATCCACAGTTCCCTGAAGGTGGTAACACAAGTGGATAAGGTGGTCAAGAAGGCGTTTAGCATGCTTGCCATCGTCAGTTGGGGCACAGAGTATAAAAACTGGCATGTCATGTTACAGCTGTATAGAACTTCAATCCGGCCATATCTGGAATATTGTATACGTTTCTGGTTGCTATGCTACCAGAAGGATGTGGAGGGTTTGGAGAGCCTACAGAAAAGGTTCACCAGAAGGATGTTGCCCAGTTTGGAGGGAATTAGCAGTGAGGATAGATTGGACAAACTTGGTTTGTTTTCATGTTGAATGATGAGGGGGTGACCTGATAGGCGTTCACAAAATGATAAGAGGCATTGGATATTTCGGAGTCTTTCTCCCAGGGTAGAAATGTCAATTACTGGGATATATAGGTTTAAGGTAAAAGAGGGAAAGTTTAAAGGAGATGTGAGAGGCAAGCTTTTTTACACAAAGGGTGGTAGGTGCCTAGAATGTGCTGTCGGAGGAGGTGGTGGAGGCAGGTATGATCGCAACGTTTAAGAGGCATCTTGACAGATACATGAATAGGCAGGGAATAGAGGGATATAGGCCGTGTCGAGGCTAAAGAGTTTGGTTTAGAAAGGCAGCATGCGTTGGTGCAGTATTGTTGGGCCGAAGAGCCTGTTCCTGTGCTGCACTGTTCTTTGTATTTTTTACTAGCACGTTACTGTTTGTGGGAAGCTTGCTGTGAACAAATTGTCAGCAACATTTCCCATACTGCAACAGTGTACACTTTAAACATAACTCATTGGCTGTAAAGTATTTTGGAGTACCTGCTGGTTGTGCAAGATCCTATATGAATGCAATCCTCTCTCTTTAAAAGGTTAAATTTTGAGACCGTGTTGCCTGAGTTTGAATGGCTGTAGAGTGATCTGTTTGTGGTGATCAAGTTTTGTGTTCAGCATGTTATTTTCCCTGTCACAGTAATTTTTTTATATCCCTTGGAATATAAACTGGGACTTGATATTGTGGTATTGAAGAATCCAAGGGATGTTTATTACAGCTAACTAACATATATGCAAATGTTACAATCACAGGCGCATCCAGTGTCTGGGCTAACATTGAGGTACTAACTTACAAAGAGCAGCATACATTCCATTTGCATGTCATGCTTCAAGTGATTTGGGGTAAGATGAGGAACGAGCCCATTTTCCTTTATGGCAGATTCTATAATACAATGATGCATGTCTCTTCAAGGTATTGACACATTGACTATGAAGCATAATACACCAGAGGTGGTTAAAATGAATTCAGAATTTGATTAGATAGATACAGAGAAACTATTTTCTGTTGAGGAAGAATCTAGAACAATGGTAAAATTAGAGCGCTGCGGTGAATTTAAGAACTAGGTAATGGAATAGGCTAGAGGGGCTGATTGGCCTTCTCTTGACTGACAAATTTGTGTCTGCAGTTTTTCACGAGCTTCCATGAGGCATTGGTGAGAGAGAATGAGGGGCCTCCTGGTGGGAGAACGGTTATATTTTTGATCCAGGGCCCAGCAGCAGCTGACCACTCCACTCTGCTCGGGTGACCCAGGAATGCAGTCAGGTAGTGTCCAAGTAATGGTCAGCACAGGAGTGTTGTCCTGGTGAGAGTGAACTCATTAACCCAACAATACGCACATCAAGTATTGGATAAACTGGACCATTGCTTTGTGTTAGTGAAGTTCTCCTTTTGAAAGGACAGTGGAAGTGGCATTGACTGACTAGTACAAGGACAGTGGGCCCAATAGCCTCCCTATGTACTGTAACAATTCTGTGACTAGTGGAGTTGGGCACTCACTCAGTACCAGTCTGTTTGCAGATTGCGAACAGAGCTTGTAGCATTGATGTAGACTCTATCGAGAGAAGTAGAATATTGTAGTGTAGTGATTACTGGACAGCGATACTGAAAACTGGGCTGATTGTTCAGAGATTATGGTCCTGATCGAATCCGGTAAAAGTGGATAGATTGTGAATTAAAATCCTGCCATACAAATTCAAATTCCTCCAGAATAATTCAAGAATTCAATCCTTTTTATACAAAAAAAAAATGCAGAAAGAGAAGGCTGGTATCTGTTAAGTGACTGTGATGTTTTGGATGTGCATAAAACACCCCAACCAGCAGCTGTAGAATTTGAATTTGAGTCGACCACATTACTGTGGGTCTGGAGTCACGTGAGCCAGTCTGGATAAGAATTCCTTACCGAAAAGACATTTTAGGGCAAGGTGTAGAGCTGGATGAACACAGCAGGCCAAGCAGCATCAGAGGAGCCGGAAGGCTGACGTTTCGGACCTAGACCCTTCTCTAGAAAAGCAATTGCTTAAAGGCAGTTGTTGATAGTTCTGTGGTTATCACAAAGACTTCCTTTGAATCGCTAATTTGAATTTGACTCCGACTCCGACTCCTGATGTCAGAAAAAGGCACTATATAAAACTGCAACTGTCTTTCTTTCTCTTTCTTTAAAAGAAAATATGAATTAGGAGTTTAGTGATGTTTAATAATAAAGAGCTTAATAATAAAATTTATTGGGTTCACTAATGTCCTTCAGGAAACTGCCATCCTTACCTGGTCTGACCTACATGTGACTCCAGACCCACAGCAGTGTGGTTGACTCTGAACTGCTCTTTGGACAATGAGGGATGGGCAATAAATGCTGCCTAGCCAGCAACACCCACATCCAGGAAATAAATTTTAAAAAATCGCACAATGACTGTGCTCTTTCCCTGTCACCCTTGGCCCCCCCAGCACCCTCTCCCCTTTCTTGTCCCCACTCCCCTCTGTCTCATCCTCCCTTTCCTCCCCCTCCCCCCCCCCCCCACCCAAAGGTGATCTAAAAATACTCATTTTACGATAATGTATTTCAAAGTTTTAAATGCTTGAAATGCCTTCCCCATTTGTTTAAAATTTTTTTTCCAGATGCAAATATTTGAAGTTACATCATCGCAGTTTGCATTTGGCATAAAGTGTGGATAGTGTTGGTGGTTAAGTATTGGGGCTCTTTCTACCGCCACCTAATCCCCCCGGTTTCAAATCAATTTCTGCTAAGTGACAATGGATGAGATGGTGTGGCCTGGTAGTATCGTCATGCTCCCTACAGTTACCTGTCTGATATTAATGGTGCTCACAGACTAGCTGTTTGGATTGTCACTCCAGAAAGGTAGTCTTTAAAACTAGAGCCAGCCTTTCTCAGCAATCAAAACCACCAAGGTCTTAGACAACAGCACGCAGGAGAGGCTGGACCAGCCGTTATCGCTGGGTGAGCTGACCAAGACCCTCGCTTCCTTTGGAAAAGAATAAAAAAAAACTCCCCAAAGTAATGGTTTACCAACTGAGTTGTATTCGGCTGTGTGGAACTTGATTGGTCAGGACCTACGGGAGGTGTACGACAGTATGCTTCTGTCGGGGATCATGTACAAATCCATGGGGAAATCCATCATCACCCTCCTCTACAAGCGGAAGGGGCAGGGGGAGGACATTAGAAATTGGCTGAATGCGGGTTACAAAATTCTGTCTAAGGTCATCACCAACTGGGTCAGGTCTGCTCTGGGATTGGTGACTCTCCCTGACCAAACCTGTGCTGTCCTGGGCAGGACGATCTCTGGGAGCGTTGCTGTCCTTGGGGATATGATCCCCTATGTGCAGGACAGTGGGGTGGATGCCTGCCTCATCAGCCTGGGCCAGGAGAAGGCCTTTGACGGAATATCATACACCTACATGTGGGACATGCTGCCCAAAATGGGCTTTGGGGAGGGAATCAGCAATTGGATCCGACTGCTCTACACCAGCGTCATTACTGCAGTCTCAATCAATGGGTGGGAAATCGGAGCAGGGCTGCCCACTCTCTCCTGCTGTGTTTGTGTGTTGTATGGAGCCCTTTGCTGAGTCCATCAGGAAGGATGTGAACCTGAGATGGGTGTCTATTCCAGGCAGCAGAGGTCTGTAGGTCAAAGCCTCCCTGTACATAGATCACATCACTGTTTTTTTGCTCCAATCTGTTGTCAGTGTGCAGGTTCATCGGCATCTGCGACCGGTTTGTACTGGCCTTGGGAGCGAAGGTAAATCGAGGCAAGGGGAAGGCCATGTTCTTTGGGAGCTGGGCCAACTGATCCTTTATGCCCTTTACCATCAGGACAGATTACCTGAAGGTGCTGGGAATGTGGATTGGAGGGGCTAGGGTGTGCACAAAATCTTGGGAGGAGCGCATCACCAAAGTGAAGCAGAAGCTGGTCTTTTAGGTGCACTGCTCCCTGTCCATTGCAGGTAAAAACCTGGTCATTGGATGTGAGGCATTGTCTCTGTTGTACAGGTCTGGCCTATTCCCTGAAACTGTGCTGATGCAGTCGCGCCAAGCCATCTTCCACTTCATCTGGAGGTCTAAGATGGACCATGTCCGCAGGAACTCCATGTACAAAGCTCTGGATAAGGGGGCGAAAAATATCCCTCCTGCTGATGGCTACCTTTGTGTGCGGCTGCTTCAAGCTGTGTGTAAACCCTCCATACACACAGACCACGCGTCACTACTTACTGAGGTGTCCCTGGTGTTGGGAAGGATGGGAGCAAGTGGTTGGACCGTTCTGTATCTCATGTCCTTTATAGAGAAATTAGCAAAGAAAAACACCTTTGATCACAAGGCCATCAGGAAGTGGTCAACACGTAGTGTCCTCGAGACCCTGAAGGAGAAGGTGGATCCTGTTGGGTGGCTCCCTGGGCAGAATGCCTCATCACCAGCACTTTCTAACAACCACCAAGACATCACCTGGCTGGTGGTGAGAAGGGCACTACCTGTGGGATCCTTTATGTACGCAGGGATCAGCCTTTGTCACCGCACACTGCCCTCGCAGTAGCTGTGGAGGAGTGATTAGAGGCTGTCACACATCTCCTTTTCTGGAGTGTGCCTTTGCAAAGGAAGTCTGGTTCTCACCTAAAAGCCTATGCCCCTGAGTTTTGGACTCTCGTACCCTGGGAAAAGACCTTGGCTGTTCACCCTATCCATACCCCTCGTGTTTATAAATCTCTGAGGTCACCCTTCAGCCTCTGACACTCCACTTGAACTTGAAGCTTCTGGTCCAGAGGTAGGGACACTGCCACTGTATCACAGGAATCCCACACAGGCTCATAGTAACATAGAATTTTATTCAAGTTGATTTGGATGCTCAATTAATTGTTCATTTAAAACTTCGAATGATTTTTGTTGCCTAAAGTTATTAAAGGATATTATCTACCTACATATGTACACAACGATAGGAGGGGTGTGATCACTGTGGGATGACTGACACCTTCAAGGTCAATAAACGCAGGAATGTGAATTAATTAAAGTCTGGAATTGTTCTGGGTTTTGGGATTACACCAAAGTGTGTATGCACTGCAGGAAACCTAGAGGATTCCCCTTCTAATTTCTATGTAAATGGTGAAATTATCATGCGGGGCATAGATAAGGTGAATAGCAAAGGTCTTTTCCTTAAAGTGGGAAGTTCAAAACTAGGGGACATAATTTCAAGGTAAGTGAAGAAAGAGTTTAAAAAGGACATGAGGGGTAACTTTTTTTTTTTACACAGTGGTTTGTGTGTGGAATGAACTGTCAGAGGAAGTGGTAGATGCAGATACAGTTATAGCAATTAAAAGACATTTGGATAAGTACATGAATAGGAAAGGTTTAGAGGGATATGGGCCAAACACAGGCAGGTGGGATTGGTTTAGTTTGGGCACATGGTTCGCGTGGGCTGGTTGGACCAAAGGGGCTGTTTCTGTGCCATATGGCTCCATGGTGCTAACTTTTGGTTATTTTAGTGCAGGCGGGATGAGGAGATTGGGTTGGTCTTTACATTTTCAGTGTTTTGCCTGAGGTTCTGAAGTTATTCTGGGACAGATTGGATTCTGGTATCCATGACATTAGGGCAGAAGCTTGTCTCTTCGATCTTGAGGTTTCTGCAGTGATAATGTGGGCAAGACCACGTGTACTGCTTTTCTGAATATGCTCTGGAACAAGGCTGTTTGAGACCTTCGTCACCAGTCATATGACAAATTGGGGATCCAGATGTAGCTGACTTAATTTCTAATTAGTCAATAAATAATGAGTAATGAATGCTAATGTTGGACACGTGATCTCCAGAGTCGTTCACTTGAACGTGAACCTGTTTTGACCTTGGCGGCAAATACAGGGGGGATAAGAGGTGTTTGTTTGTTTTGATTAATTGTGTAGTGCCTGCTTCACTTCCTTGGTCGCTGAACATTGGGAGCAGTTTCTCCCTCTTCCGTGCAGGTCTGCACATCAACTGTGAAGCTGCAGTGCAGGTAACCAGCCAGCTAGCCCCTTTTAAATGACCATACAAACCAAAACATTAAAGGGACCAGACACTTCAAAAGAATGCTGTGTTGGGCAGGTCTGTTCAGTAAATATTCATATTTACCTGTATGTGGAGTACCTCCTACTTAAAGTTCCTGCATATAGAGTCCTAGAGACGTACAGCATGGATACAGACCCTTCAGCCCATCTCATCCATGCTGACCAAGATATCCTAAATTAATCTAGTCCCATTTTGCCCATATCCCTCTAAACCATTTCTATTCACACAAGCATACAGATCCTTTTAAATGTAATTGTACCAGCCTCCTCCACTTCCTCTGGCATGCTTAAAATGGTGTCATTGTAGCCTCACCTAAAGGTTTGAATTGCTCTTTCTTGGAATGTTTGTGTCACTGGGCAAGGTCTGTGATTATTGCTTGTCTCTAATTGTCCTTGAACCAAGTGGCTTGATCGGCCCATTCCAGAGAGTACTTAAGAGTCAACCGTGTTGCTGTGGGTCTGGAGTCACACGGAGGCCAGACCGGGTAAGGAGGAGAGATTTCCTTTCTCAAAGGGTTTTAGTGAGCTACGTGTTTAACTGAAATCAATCCTCAATTGATTTTAAGTTAAAGTTTAAATCAATCTGGATTCCTAGTCCAATGACATTACCATCTTCCCCTCCATTGATAACAAACAGCACCAGCTATTCCACAAGGTACTGAGATAGGATAGATTCCAGTGGAGTTTAGCCTGCAATAGCTGAATGTTTAATCCCAGCAATTTCAACAATGCTGGCCTTGAATGTTATCACCATAGTATACGATGATCGATACTTTAGAGCTGCTCTGTGGCTAGGTAGCAACACAGCTCCAAGTGCAGATAACAGGTTCAAAGGAAGGCTATGTGCTTTTGCTGACTGATTTCCAAGAACATGCAACCTTTGTCAGTTACAGCGAGCCAAATTCTTGCGCTGACAGCACTCAAGGGCATTGAGCAACATAATATTCTGGCAATCTCCTGTCCCAGAGCAAGTCCTTTCTATTCAATCAACGGGGAGGATAATATTTGTAATAAAAATTAATGCCGGCAGGTGTTCTGGTCCTAAGCCTATCCAATTGTGTGTCTCAATCTATACGGTTCTTGTCTCACCCTGAAATCACGTGATCTCCTGGGGAAAAGGTGGGGTAAGAAAATCCGAGGTAAACAAGTTGGCTGAAAATACCTGGGAGTTCCTCTAGGTGACTCATTTGATAATGATGGCCCTGAATTTCCTGAAGGGATCTCTGTCTCGAATGAAAGCAGATCCAGCTCTAATGGAATCCTAGAATCCCCACAGTGTGCGAGCAGGCCATTCGGCCCAACAAATCCATACCTCCGAGCATCCCACCCAGATTCACCCTCCTAACCTTGCATTTCCCATGTCTAATCTACCTAACTTACACACCCCTGGACATTGCGGGCAATTTAGCTTGGCCAGTGCTAACCTGCACATCTTTGGACTGTGGGAGGAAACCGGAGCACCTGGAGGAAACCCACACAGACATGGGGAGAACGTGCAAACTCCACACAGACAGTCGCCCGAGGGTGGAATTGAACCCGGGTCCTTGGTGCTGTGAGGCAGCAGTGCTAACCACTGTGCCACCATGCTGCCCCCCCACAATTATGCATTGATATACAACCGCCCCCACTTGTGCTTTGAGGAATCCAGTGGGTCAGCTGCAGCACATGAGCCAGTAACCAGTTGCAGAGGATTGCACTCTCCGAGGAAAAAGAAACCAGATCCTGATGTCAAAACGAGAACTGATCTACAGTTTAAAATCATCATTCTGGTCGTTCTGACTTCTTTGTTTTATTTTAAACAGGTTCCATACTGTTCAGCTGCATAAATTACCCTGCATGGTTACTGTCAAATAAACAAGGGGAAGCAATGGCCTTGGGTATTATTGCTAGACTGTTAACTCAGAGACCCAGATAACGTTCTGGGGACCCGGGTTCGAATCCCGCCACGGTAGATGGTGGAATTTGAATTCAATAAATGTCTGGAATTAAGAATCTAATGATGACCACGAATCCATTGGTGATTGTTGGGGAAAAACCTACCTGGTTCACTAATGCCCTTTAGAGAAGGAAACTGCCATCCTTACCAGGTCTGGTCTACATGTGACTCCAGACCCACTGCAATGTGGTTGACTCTTCACTGCCCTCTGGATAATTAGGGATGAGCAATAAATGCTGCATGGCCAGTGCTAATGATTTGTTAATGTAGGACCCACGCCATCTCTGACAATTTTATTCTTGAGTTCACCTGGGTACATAAACAGAAAGGCTCTCTGGATATCAGGGGCACCCCTACGTGATAAACGTCTGAAGAAAGCACCAGCTGGTTTGTTCAGCCAGGCCCATGTCACTCCCACACAGAATCAAAGAATTAGTACAGTGCACAAAGAGGCCATTCAGTCCATCCTATCTGTACCAGTCTATCCTCCTGCACTTGCCCCCTATCACTGCACGCCATTTCTATTTCAATGACAATCCAATGCCCATCTTGAATGCCTCCTATTGAACTGGCATCCACCACATTTCCAGGCAGTACTTCCCAAACCCTCACTGCTCTGAGTGAAAAGGATTTCCTTGCATTACCCTTCCTTTGTATGCACATCACTTTATGTCCTTATGGTCTTTTTATCAGGGGGAGCAGTTTCTTCCTATCTACTCTGTCCAGCCCTTTCTTGATTTTGAAAATCTCTTATCAAGTCTCCTCCTAGTCTTTTTTTCCCTCCAAGGAGGCAATCCAAACTATTTCAATCTCTCCTCAACACTGAAGTTTCTCATTCCTGGAACCATTCTGGTAAAAATCTTCTGCACTCTCTCCAGTGCACATCCTTCCTGTAGTGTGGTACCCCAAACTCTACACAGTACTCTAGCTGATTATGTAGCAAGTACCTTTATACAAGTTCAACATTACCTCCTTGCTCTTGTATTCTCCGCCCCTAGTAGTAAACTCGAGAACACTGTCTGTGCTTTATTTACTGCTCCTACCTGCCCTGTCACCTTCAATGGTCCTTGTACTCCTAGGCCCCTCTGCTCCTGAGTCTTTCTGTACCCCCCCCCCCC